GACTATTTTGTTGGTATATTCCGTCTCGCTCTCGATGCAGCTGGCAAAGTTCCCATTCTGCTGGATCCTGAATCGACCACATGGCTCCCTGGAACTAGCGTGTAGGAGAATTCTGCTTCATCGATGAATCGAATTGTGATCAAATTGACTTTTTTGTTTATTTTTTTCAGTTTGCAATGGGTAAGAGTAGTCCATCGGCGCTTCGTGAAACAACAGTGGAGACACCGAATGTTACCTGGGATGATATTGGTGGTCTACAGAATGTTAAACGAGAGCTGCAAGAACTTGTCCAGGTCGGTTTGATAAAATGCAAATATCATGGGCTTTCCTTACAATAATTATTAAAAATTCTCGTCTTTCAAAACCAAGCATCGAAGACAAAAATGTTATAGGGTATCGGCGTTTTTTAAAAGCTGTCAGTTAGACAGCGTGTAACTTGCACAGCGACCATCAGTACTGAAGGGATCCAGTCGCAGTGTTGAGTTAAGACGTATATGACTTAATGGGCCAAAACATCGTCTTATCTCATTCTTGCCTCCTGACCTTAATTTCCCCGTCTAGTACCCCTGTTGCAGTGGTGAATTTTGGCTCCCATCCGGGTAATACCTTTAGCTACGGGGCAGCTCCGGCCCCTTCTTTTCCTCACAGGGCCCTTCAGGCCCGTACTGCCTTTTCGTAGTAGTTAAGTTAAGACGTATATGACTTAATGGACCAAAACGTCGTCGTCTTATCTCACTCTTGCCTTCTCTCCTATACTATTCTTTCTTCAGAAGAATTCCTTCACATCTTTTGCCATCTGCGCTTTCAAGGTCAACCTGGATGCTTCAGTCTGCTTGATGCAGCACTAATTCTGAATAATGACCAGAATTTGATTATAGTGCATGTCCACTTTTTCTTTTTTTTCAGTATCCAGTGGAGCATCCGGATAAATATCTTAAATTTGGTATGCAACCATCTCGTGGTGTACTCTTTTACGGTCCACCCGGATGCGGTAAAACTCTGTTGGCCAAAGCAATTGCGCATGAATGTCAGGCGAAT